ACAAACTAATAATGCCAGTAATCTTGAACAACATATAAATGGTTAAAGATAATTCCTTATTATTCCTAGCTTATAAGATAAAGCTAACAAGTCATTAAAGTGAGATTACTGTAACATCACTATCTTTCCTTGAATCCTAATATGCCTGGGAAAGAGTGGATTTATAGTTGTCACTCATATTTAACATGCTTATCAAGAGCCCAGGATATAAGCTACCAAGCTAGCTGGTAAAAAGGACAGAGAATCTAGCTTATCTGAGATCCAAATCTTGGGGAGTCGATGGAAGCATGTTGCACAGCAAACATCATCCTTCACATGCCTCAGGACGGAAAGATCTAATACGTAAGGTGCCTTTGGCAAATGGGCATTGGGCCCCAACTTCTTCAGTATCCACCATGTGGAGATTACAGAGATAGCTATGAGGATGTGAGGTCACCAGACCCCTGTCACCAACACCCCATGCCCAACTGCTAAAGAACATTCCCCCCACTATCCCTCTCATTCCTCCGCAGCCTCAGGATAGCAGAGGTAAGGGGAGGGTGTCCCCATGTAGAGGGATGGCGAATTTCCTGGAACTGGAAGGCTAATAGCATCTTACTGTAGAGACAGCCCTGGTCTATAGAGGAAGGTTTACAAAAAACTTAAGTGACACAATGTACCCCCACACAGGTCATCACAGTCACCAGCCAAGGATGCACACTCTTTCTGGTGACCCGCAGACCTAGTGAGGAGAAGGGAGAAGCATCGTTAGTGCTTTATATCATTGTAACAAAAAAACCTGAGAAGGAGCAAAGGCTGGCTAGCCCCATTGCTTTGGGCCTAGGGCAGAATATCATGGCCATGGTAATATGTGGTAGAGAATCCTGCTTACCTTAGTAGATTCCAGGAGAGAGCAAATACCCTTTTCAAGCACATGTCCCCATGATCTTCTTCCTCCAACTAGCCCCCACCTCTAATGAAATCATCCATGGTTGAGGTGAGAACCCCTCAGGATCATATCATCCCTTAAGGTCCTACCTCTACTCAGTGCTGCATTGAGGACCAAGCCTTTAATACACCAGTCTTCAGGAGGTATATCCAAACCACAACCAAGCTCCACTTCCTTCAGGAACTTTCCTTAGGAAGTAGTGCCTTCCCAAGCCTTTGTTCCTCCCTGGCAAGTCTTAGAAAAGTTATTCAGCTTTCCCCACATCCGAGTGCTCCAGCCATGTCCTTGTGGGTGGGCTTGGGATCTCTACAAGGGGCTACAACTACCTTGAACTTCAGCAAGGATGTCTATCCAACTTTGCCACACAGACATTCAGACGTCCAGAAACTGATGCCGAACATTTTTTCGCTCCTAGTTTTAAATGTGGGTGGAAGGCCAATGCTGTGGCCTTGGAATTCCTGTTATGCCTGATGAGAGTACTCTTCGGGGCCTGCCTTAGTTCTAACAGTCCTGTCCACTCTGTGCACTTGCTAGGTTTGGAGACGGCTACATTGTCACAATGAAAATTAAATCGCCAAAGGACGACTTGCTTCCAGACTTGAATCCTGTCGAGCAGTTCTTCCAGGGCAACTTCCCAGGCAGTGTGCAGAGAGAGAGGCACCACAGCATGCTCCAGTTCCAGGTCGCCTCCTCTTCCCTGGCCAGGATCTTCCAGCTGCTCATCTCCCACAAGGACAGCCTGCTCATCGAGGAGTACTCAGTCACTCAGACCACGCTCGACCAGGCAAGTCCACCCAGGGTACCAAGTGCCAGTCGGCTGTGCCCACTGCATGACAGCACCTGACATGAGTAGTGGATGACGTGGGGCAGACAGGATGTCTTTAGTTTTAACACATCGTTGGTCTCTGTCCCTTAGAGTAAAATCTGGCATTTCAGAAATGGTTTTCTAACAATATTTTAGTCATCTACAAATTTTACTGATGATTTTTGTTCTTTTCTTACATGTTATTTCATGCTTGCCGGTACATGGTGGTGACTGGTTTTTTTTCTTTCCAAATCAACTTTTCATGTGTAATTTACAAAAAACAAAATAGACATATTTAATTGTACAGCCCAGTGAATCTTTATAAACGTTTGCTCTTTGTATATGTATTTATTTATTAGTATAAATGTGATGTTTATGTGTGTGTGTACTTGCATGTGTGCAGGTACACATGAATGTGTGTGAATATGCATGTAGAGGCCTGAGGCTGATGCCAGGATCTTCCTCGATTGCTCTTCCTTCCTATTCTTTGAGGCAGGGTCTTTCAATCAAACCCAGAGCTTTCCAATAATATGACTACTCTTGCAAGCCAGCTTGCTCCAGAGATCTCCTGTCTCCACCTTCCAAGGCTGGAATTATAGTTTACCACACTGACCAGGCATTTATGTGGATTCTGGAGGATCTGAACTCTGGTCTTCACACTTACGTGATTAGCATTTTAAGTAATTTAACAGCTAAGTTGTCTCCATAGCCCACCTTTACTCTTTAATTTTGTGTCAATGAATGCTGTCTACCAAACACTGTATTTCCACTCTTTGCTCCCCTGACAGTGTCTGACAAGTTCTACTTCACTTTATTTTTGAGGGTCTTGTTATATGAAACCCAGGACTGTATGTAAGCTTCGGCTTCCAAGTGCTAGGAATAAAGGCTTGTGCCACCATGGCTGGTACCTCCCACTTTCTCTTTAAAATTGAAATCTATCTATCTCTGTTGATTGACCGATCAATAGATAGATGATAGATAGATAGATAGATAGATAGATAGATAGATAGATAGATAGATAGATAACAGAGATATATATATACACACACATTTCTAAATATATAAATGCAACCTGATCAGTTCTTATAATGTTACTTATATGCATATGTTTTTGTCCAACCAGTGCGCTCTCTCTCTCTCTCTCTCTCTCTCTCAGCATTCCTTAGATGTCTGCAGTTCTTTGTGTAGGGTTGGGGCCTCTGAAGCCTCCCCACCATCCACGTTAGTGTGTCCACTGGTGTCACCCTTGTTCGGGTCCTTCTACTGTCTATGAAACTGACTGCTCTAGGCACTTCGTATAAGTGCAATCAAATAGTACTTGTCATTTTGTTACTGGCCTAATGTCCCCAAGGGTCCAGCCCTACACTGTATCATGTGTCAGAATTGCCTTCCCTTTCAAGACTGAGTAATATTCAATTACACCTGCATTTTACTTATGTATCCATTCATTCATGAGTGAATTTTTGAGTTTGTCCTGGGTTGTTGGGGATTTTTTTTTTATTTCCAATTTCTTGTTTTTAATAAACATCTTTAAAGACCATTTGGTAAAGCAGTGGAATCAGGCGAGTGTTTACCTCTACAAAGCTCACTCACCTGTTTATCCGTACTTTCTTGCCACCTTAGGCAGGTGACAGTCACATTGGCCTCCTGCACAAATTGTGGCCACAGTGCATGTGGCGTGAAGAACACAGCAGAGAGCAGCTGCCTGTGCGCAGTTCCTGGTTTTAGAGAGCCGGGACTCTCCCGGCTGTCTCGGTTATCCCAGTTTCTCATGTCCGTGGCCCTTGGAATCCTCCAGCAAAACTGGCTTGGCTCAGGAGTCTAAGAAGCAAGCCTGGTCCAGGGCACTGCTGTGTGGGCTTGTGGCACACCACAGAAGGAAACAAACTACACCCACAGGGCCGTCCATCAACTGTGGGAAACACAGAGCAAAGCACGCGTGTGGTATAGGGTCCCATCTTTCTAGAAACATCTGCTTTTTTTTTCTCTTGCCTGTAGGTATTTGTGAACTTTGCTAAACAGCAGACTGAGACCTATGACCTCCCTCTGCACCCTCGAGCTGCTGGAGCCAGCTGGCAAGCCAAGGTACTCCCAACTGCCCTTTCCTAACCATGGCTTAGACAGGGCCTCAGCTCAGGGGCTTTGCTGGGCCGGAGGTGCTCTGAGGTTCATTCAGACGATGCTCTGCAGAGAGCAGCCACGCCCCATCTCCGCCTGTTCCTACCATGCCCGCAATCCTCCGTGCTTGATCCTAGCATCCTCACTAAGCAGTTCTCAGTTGAAGATTCACCCAGTAGCTGAGCGGCTCCTACCTGTAATCTGAAAACCATTTGGGTGGTGTGGGTGAATCACATCTTAAAAGCACTTATTTATGTGTGTGCATGAGTATGTGTCCAACCCAAGTTGTCAGGGTTGAGGCACGTGCCTTTATCCAGTGATACTACCTCACAGGCCCAAGGATTATCTTGAAAGGAACTTTCCCGAACATTTTTACTAACAGCACAAAAAACAAAAATCTCCAAACTTCAAGTTTTAGGAATATGCAGGGAAAGAGAGAATATTGAAACATCTTGGCTGTTGGGTGTAGCAGGAATCTTAACAGTTTTTATTAATAAAATCAAACCTGAGGCCAGTTATTGGGGTGAATGCTGGTAGATCAGAGAGACAGAACAAGCCACAGCTATCTCACCTTGCCAATTCCTCAGCTGGTCCTGTTTCCTTAGACTGGAAGCCTCTGAGTCCTCATCCAGAATGAATCTCAGCTGAACTGTGCTGCTAGAAGCTTGAAAACTTAACCAGCCAAATGCTTTCTTGTAGCTAGAGTTTTCCTGCCTTGCCCACAGTCAGGACAAATCTCTGTCACCCGCCAGTCCCACAGCTGCTCAGACCTGACCAAGTAAACACAGAGACTTATATTGCTTACAAACTGTATGGCCGTGGCAGGCTTCTTGCTAACTGTTCTTATAGCTTAAATTAATCCATTTTTATAAATCTATACCTTGCCACGTGGCTGGTGGCTTACCGGTGTCTTCGCATGCTGCTGGTCATGGCTGCGGCTCGCAGTGTCTCCCCGCCTCAGCCTTCCGCTTCCCAGAATTCTCCTCTTTCCTTGTCCCACCTACTTCCTGCCTGGCCACTGGCCAATCAGTGTTTTATTTATTGACCAATCAGAGCAATTTGACATACAGACCATCCCACAGTACTTTCTAGTTTCTGGTCCTCACGCCTTATATACCTTTCTACTTTCTACCATCACTCCCTGGGATTAAAGGGGTGTGTCACCATGCCTGGCTGTTTCCAATGTGGCCTTGAACTCACAGAGATTCAGAGGGATTTCTACCTCTGGAATGCTAGGATTAAAGGTGTGAGTGCCACCATTTTCTAGCCTTTGTATCTAGTGGCTGTTCTGTCTCTGACCCCAGATAAGTTTATTGGGGTGCACAATATTTTGGGGAACACAATACCACCACAGTTGGGATATCAACAACACTTCTTGGTCACGCCTTGGAGCTTAAAAAGATGGGGACTAACAGGCACTCCGTTTAATGGTAGACATGTCTGGTTAGAGCCAAGGCTTTGGCCAGTTTGGGGGAGGTGGATTCTTTATTCTTCATGGAGCAATCAAGATAGCGAAGGAAGAAGTGATAGAAAGTGATGGAAGGTACAAGTTCTGTCCCAGGATAACACCTGGGATGGACTTCCAGTGCTGCCCTAGCGCAGTGCCTACATCAGGAGTGTACCCACCCAGTTTCCCAGATGGACAGAAAGCTAGAGTAGCCAGATGGCTGGGCTTAAGCATGAGATTTTAACAAGGACAAGTAACTGTGCCATTCTGTCCAGACTACTGGACAGCAAAATCAAATCAACCCAAAGTATTCATTTAAAAAACAAACAAACAAAACACACATGAAAAGCCTTATTTTCCATAGGTTTCTCTTTCCTCCCAACCAATTTCTTGATTGCAATAAGAGCCAAATACAGCTGAAGAGCAAAGCATGTCTTTCCAAGGTCATGCTTGTAATGAATGCTTCTCCATCCCATGGCTACTTGGCGAGGATGATCTTGTCTCTCCACCTGTCACCCTCCAGAGGGCCTGGAATGCCCAAGTGAAAATGACTGTCCAGGGCAAATTCCTTTTGCCAATCTTCTAACTATTGCCTCTCATTTTTAGATCTTGTAGTTGCTGTTGATACAGGCTGAAAAAATTTATTCTTTGAGGATCATTTACAGTCACGGGTCCTTTTTATAACAGAGAACACATAGTTAGATTGCAAAATTATTTCTAAGAGCCACCTATGTCCCCTTCCACAATACCACGACATGCTCTTATTTATTTATTTATTTATTTTACTTATTTGTTTGTTTGTTGACTGGGTCTCACTGTGTGGTCCAGGTTGGCTCCAAAGCCATGGTCTGCCAAAGCAAGTGTGTGCTGCCATAGCCAGCGGTACAGGCCCTCCTACAGGACTAACACCAGCTGACCTGGACCAGGCCAAGTTGCTCACGGTCTATGATTTGGACTGCTTGATTCCAACTTTTCCCTAAGATCATGTTTCTATTGTGTTTGTCACATTTTTTTTTTTGCAAGAACCTACTGTAACACATTGGCTAAATTACTATTTTTATAATAAATGTGTTATTCAAAAATCTAACTCTGACCTATGACATACCATCTTCATAAAAAGTTTACAGAAATCCTTTATATGGTATTATATATAAATCTGTCATAAAACAGATAGTAATTGAGTTCTTATCTACATTATCCTACTTAAAATAATTTTGCTTAAATATCCTGAAAACAAGAAGCAGGTGCTTTACATCAAGGAGATCCAGGCAATGTTCCCAGCTTGTTCTGAACAAACAAGAAAGCTAAGCTTCAGGAAGTTTAGCAGCTGATGGCTTCCCAGCTCCTGGTTTTGAGCAGAGACTAAACAGATGTTTTATTATCTAAAAATCTACTTATCAGGGATGTTTTAAAATTCTCCAAAGGACCCAGTCTTAGGAGACATCTCTTAGGATTCGGCTCCATACATTGTCACAATCTGTTTTCTGAAAACAGATAAACATCAAGGTCTTGGTAAGAGAGCTGGCAATGGAGGATCTGTTAACTTAGAAATCTCCTAAACAAGAGAATCATTTTACACCCATCACAATCAGGAGCAACTCAGAACAATGTCTGATTCTTATTTTTATACATAGAGGTTTCCCTACATCATGTTTATCCTTCAGTTAGATTCTTAAGTGTTTAAGTACCTGCAGTCTTGACTGAGACCCTTGTTCTGTCTCAGAGCCTGTTTTTATCCCTATATCTCATTGTCTACTTGTTAAGAGGTTGTGTGTTTAAACCAGATAATTGGACAAGCCACATTTTGCATAGGCTGGGAAGGCCCCCTCCAACCCTCTCCTCCCCCCCCCAACCCCACAGCTGGTATTGGATCATGAAAACAGCCTATAATTTCTGATTAGAGATGATATGTCTCTAGCTAGAAAGGTGAGTTAGAAACATGTCCATTTCTCTAGGACCCTGAACTTAGTGCAGAAGTTTGATCTGGATTCGTTATCATGAACTCCATTTGAATCTTTCTTCATGCTATCTATATCCTGGTCAAATGATCTTTCTTCCCAGGGACCACCTCTGAATGAACTAGACAAAGAGAAGTCCAGACAAGGGCTGAATTTAAATGATAACTTCTTGGCTTTTAAGCCAGCAAGGTGACGGTGACTTTCTTGGGTTAAAAAAAAAAAAACACCCGGGAGGCTGGAGAGATGGCTCAGTAGTTAAGAGCACTGACTGCCCTTCCAGAACACTAGAGTTCAATTCCCAGCACCCACATGGCAGCTCACAACTATCTGTAATTTAAATTCCAGTGGATCTAACTCCCTCACACAGGTGTACATGCAGGCCAATACCAGTGCACATAAAATAAAAATAAATTATTAAAAAAAACAACACCCAGGGTTGGGAACTTAGCTCAATGGTAGAAATCCTTGTCCAACACTACATGGATCTAGGTTTGAACGCCAGCATGGGAGTGGAGAACATGGTCTCCAAAACATCCATTGGAAAGAGCACCAAGGGAATAGCTTTCTTCTAAAATGTAAAAACACACAGGCACATAAGTCTCTGTAAGAAATGTGTGGACCTTAGAGCGCATCTGGTCTGCTTACTTCAGAGCTAAGAACTCAAGGCAGCCCGTAACCTTGGTTGTCCGATAGAATCCAAGTCCATTCAGCTGAGCATCCCCCAGACTCTGCCGATCGCTATACCTTGAAACCTAAAACTCTATTGCTCCAGAAAACCAGGGGAAGTGTCTAGCTGACCTTCCACAGGGCTGATCCCAACCATGTTGCTTGTTCCTTATAGCTCGACGGGAAAGCTGGGCGGCTGGAGACGCAGGAGCCTTTGCCCACAGGATCAACTGAACGACTGGCGAACATAAACAAGCCTACTGAGGCAGAAGACAAACGCACCAGGCACCCACAGTGAACTCGAGGAGGCTCTTCCAGAAGGAAACCAAGACTCGCCGGCTCACCGGCATTCCTGATGGCAAAACTCACCTATCCAAACATCCAGACCACCAAAGTAGCCCCTGACCAGTGGCTTTGCTTAGCACCTCGTCCATTCTGAGTGGATGTGCTTTTGTGGGGTGGGAGGAGTGTGGGTGTGTGGGTGTTATTCGGAAGGAGCAATAAAATGCACTCTCCTTGTGAACTACTCATTAATTGTTGCGGGCAATTAATTGTTGCCCGCGCTACCGCTACCCGTTCACCACGTCGGAGTGAGGGGCTGTGGATTAAAAAATAAGAGACAAGAGACAGTGAGTCATTCGGCACAGCAGAATGCTGTTTATTGAAAGAGGGAGGAAACCTTATATACAGGCTTACAGCACAATGGAAGAACCCCAGAGGGCAGAAGTTCACTACAGAACGGTCTACATTCTTGCATCTAAGCTGTTAATGCCCAATATGCAGGATACACAAACAAGGAACTTTCCTTAACCATTCAGGAGGGTGGAAACTGGCAGGGAATTAGCATAGGGAGGACATCTGGTCAAGGTTGGCAAGCAGGCAATGGCTTTACTCAATATGGGAGGAGACCAGGGCCCTACAATTAATCTCCCCTAAACACGGTTTCATTAGTGTTCAGCATGTGGTGTAATTTCAGACTTTCTCAGAGGGGACAGTAGTCACTTACTGCATGAGGGATTCAGAGAAGCATGAAGTCCGTTCTTGTCTACCATGTGGGTCCCAGGAGTTAAATTTGGGTCATCAGGCTTGGTTGTAAGCATCCACTGAGCCATCTTGAATGCCCTGTAAACTATTTTGAGTGACAATTTATTCCACTTCTTTCATCCCTCCACTAGATTGCCAGATCCTATAGATCTTGAATCTTACTTATCTTTGTAGCCTTTGCTATTTATATGCTCTTTTCTGATGTTTTAACAACATACTAGATTTTCAGTAACTACTAAGTGGGTAGCATGAAAATGTTAATGGAGAAAACAGTGGGCAGAATTGGATGTCTAACTGGTTGGACACAGCGCAGTTATGTAGGATTTCAAGATGGCAATAGTGGAGTATCAGTGTCAACACAGGGTCCTCTGAAGGTACAGTCCTGTGCCTCGCCACAGCCACACACTCCTGCAGCCCCCCTCAGTGGCTGACTTTGACCTCACAACTCAGAAGCACCTGAGTGATGTAGAAGGCTAGGATGTGGGGAGGCTGCTACCATGTGACATCCAGTCATCTCCTAGAAGAGGGTACCAGTTTGTTGCACAGTTGCCCACATAAGAACTACATTGCTGAAGCTCGAGCCAAGTGTTCTCTCGAGCTGAACAGTAAAAAAGATGTGTGTAAGGTCAGAGCAGAAGAGCCCCGCAGGTCCGCTTTCCCAGGTCTGGAATCCAGTAGCCCAGCTTCAGCCATAAAAACATCCTGAAGGACTCAGCAGGCCAGAGTACAGTTGGAAGGACTCTGGGTCCCTGCGCAGCATGATGTGTGTGGAACAGACATGCTCCAAAACACAGCACCCCTCAGCGCAGTGGCTCAAATCAGTGAGGGTCCCCTGCCATTGCTTTGTTGACTTATATGTTGTTGACCATAGTATGACAAAAACATCTCTTTTCATTCACCCCGCAGCCAGACACCTGGCCCTCTAGACCAGTGGTTCTCAACCTTCCTAATGCCATGACCCTTTAATATGGTTCCTCTTGTTGTGGTGACCTCCAACCATAAAAATATTTCATTGCTACTTCATAACTGTAATTTTGCTACTGTTATAAATTGTAATGTAACTATCTGTGATTTCTGATGGTCTTAGGTGACCCCTGTGAAGGGTCCAATGGGGTCAGGACCCACAGGTTGAGAAACACTGCTCTAGACTAAGCCAAAGTTGGAACATGGCTGCAAGTCCCTGTATATGACAGCAGTAGGCTTAAGGTCAGCTCCAAAGAAGAAGCTTGGCTTAGCCAGGGAGTGAACCATGCTCAGGCACAGTCTCAACCTGCTCCTTCCCGAGAAACTCAAACACCTGAAGTTAAAACACTGCCTCTTCACGGGGGCCACCTAAGACTATCAGGAAACACGGATTTACATTATGATTCATAACAGTAGCAAAATCACAGTTATGAGGTAACAATGAAAATAATTTTATGATTGGGGGGTCACCATGACACGAGAAATTGTATTAAAGGCTTGCAGCATTAGGGAGATTGAGAATGGCTGAATTAAATTAAGCTTGCCTTACCTTAAATTAACCTAATAAGATAATATAGTTTTAAAACCAGTGGCTGGAACCTAGCTAATTGCAAGTATTCTGCCAGCCACAGACTACAAACTGAGGAAATATGTCCACAGGCTACAAACTGAGGAAATAAGTCCATTTAAGGGACGATCAGACTCTACACCCCCAGGCTACCTCTCTGTCCCTCAGCAGTGTTTTCTGACTGTGTTGTAGCTCTCTCTGGAACACCTTCGCCACAAGTACCATCTGCTTCTCAGTCTTCGATCTGCTCAACTAACCCCTGTCGAATGTGTCTAACATTTTCCTTCCCAAGAGATAGGAGTCAGAAGTGAGCTCTCAAGTGGAATTCCCGGACTGCTAATGACTGGATAGAGGTGCCCAGTCAGGGCCCATTGTACCCTTGGCCTCTCCCAGTCACTGGAGGTCAGAGGTGAGTTCTCCCTTGGATCCTGAATTCCACAAACCCGTGTTCTGGACTCTTAGGATTGATTTGAGCAACTTGTAGATTAGACTGGGTCCAGAATGAACTACATCCAATGTCTAACTGTTCAGATCCACTAGCAGCCTCGGCTAGGTACATTTTGATAATGGGTTTATCTAATTAGAGTCATCTTCTGGGGTTCCAGATGATTTTATGTATAAGAAATATAGACCAGACCTTACATAAATTGAGGAAAATGTCTTGCTCATTTAGAGATTGAATCATGCTAAAAGCATAATGGACCAGGCAGTGGTGGTGCTCCTCTTTAATCCTGCACTGGGGAGGCAGACGCAGGCTGACCTGAGTTCCAGGACAGCCAGGGTTACATAGAGAGACCCTAGCTGAGAAAGTCAGTCTTGTTTGCCTTTGCTTGGAAAGGTCAACAGTGCACCCCCCAAGGCTTCACTGAAGACACACACACACACACACACACACACACACACACACACACACACACACACACACCAGCACTGAACGAGGACTGAGCATCCCGAAAGTTTTCTTTGACCTACACCCAAAAGACAATTAGAAGGCTCTTTTGACTTGTGGGATGACATAGATTCTGGGTCTGACATGTTTTCTTAGGAGCCTCACTAGAAATCACTAGAAGGCACCACAGTCTTTGTTTTAGGAAGAGAATCACGGCAGCCCTTTAACTCAATGGCACTGACCTCTGACCCTAGTTTTAAACCTGCCACATTATGCTAACCCTGTTAAGCTTACTTGTCCATGAACATAATCATGAGCTTTTATACCGGAGCATGGCGACAACCATGCCGCCTATATTGTATTGTGCAATTAGATCGAGTAGCTAAGGCATGTCTAAATTACTTAAAAGCACCGTCAGCAGCAACCAGATTGGCAAAAGTTTCATTCACGGTGGCATTGGGAAATAAACTTTATTTACAAGTCCTCACATTCTATGGAAAGTCCACTAAAATCCAAACAGCTCTTTCCAGTCAGTAGACTAGCAACTCCTGCCCTGCCTCCTAATCACCATCTAAAATGTCGGGTTTTAGTCTGCCTCTTCGTGGTCTTGGTCTGGATGATGGTACAGAACCATACATAATGAAAAAGAACCTAGTCAATCCAGTGACATCCCATAAACCATTACTCGGCCACCAGTGGTGGGTCTCGGGTCTTGATTATACAATACTGGAAACACAATATGTCTTCTGTTTATTCTGGGTTGTTTGTTTGTTTGTTTGTTTGGTTGGTTGTTTGGTTGGTTGGTTGGTTGGTTTTTCCAGACAGGGTTTCTCTGTGTAGCCCTGGCTGTTCTGGAACTCACTCTATAGACCAAGCTGGCCTCAAACTCAGGGATCTGCCTGCTCTGCCTCCTGAAGGCTGGGATTAAAGGTGTATGCCACCACTGCCCGGCTTCAACATATCTTTTATAGATATCTCACGGATAGGTTTTCTGTATTTGGTAGCAATTATGTTGGGGTTTGGTTTTGTTTTGTTTTCCCTTTCTCAATGCTGGGAATCCAATCCAGAGCATAGCACACGCTAGACAACCGCCTTACTACTGAGCCACAGCCCAGCCCACAACTGGGATATTTTGCCAGGGTGTAGGTGGGCATCTTGTGAGCTGAATTAAGTCTATTTGGGTTTTTTTTTTCTCACTAGAAGTGGTTCTGTACCCTTGCAGCATAAAGGGACTATGGGAAAGTGATTTTTCTCCCCGGACTTTGCTCAGGAGCTGTGTGGACTCATAGGCAAACAGTTTTAACCTGTCTCTGATCAAACATTCTCTTTTCTAACCAGCCGCTGTGAGGGCATGTTGGGTCACAGAGAATGTGAATGCCCTGCCCTGCCTCCACACTGCATCAGATGTTACTCCTCACCCCTGCCCTCACATTACTTCCCCTGAAGTGTTTTGTCAGGCATTAAATGGGATACACTGAGAAGTTGATCAGTAATCAGTATTATTGTATGAATATCCTAGAACATTTATATATATATAAACCTACATAGTCTAGCCTATAAAAGGCTGCACGGGCTGGCCTCCTTTTTCCTTAGCATGTTACTGTATTACTGCTGCAGGCAAATGTAACACAGGGGTGAGGGTGTGTTTATACAAACAGAAAGGGCACTGAGAAAACACAGTTTAGAACTTGAAGGAACTCAGCAGGAATAGAGGCCGAAAGGAAAAGTATCAGCTCAGGACGCCCAAGAGCAAATTCTCAGCACAAAGAAGATTGATTTGCCCCAGAGGGACAGAGGGCAGGGATAAGGGACAGAGACAGGAGCTAGAGGGAGAGGGGAAAGGGGAGGGATCAAAGGAAAGGGTGTGAGGGCATTTGTCTTGGGGTGGGGACAAAGGGCTGCCTCTGGAGAGCGAGGAGACAGGCGTGGCCCAGAGGAACACAGCAGGTTATAAAGGTACAAAGGAAAACCCTGAGCTAGGATGAGGTGTTTCATTTTAATTGGGCATATTAATTAGGGCAGCCAAAGGGAGCTTTTGATTGCTGGACTTCCACACTTTGATAGCTGGAC